GATAACTTAGTGGCTAGTCAGGTAGGTAGACCACTAATCCATAGCTGTCGACTCTACGGTCATACAGGTCCTGGAGTCGGTTAGTCCATTACAACAACAGTGAAGAGATGAATGTGATTGGCTGTCGGTAATGCTACGGGCCACACACAACTCTAGGGGTCTTCCCTCCTACTATAATAAAGGGAAGTTCCCTAGTGGTGCTATGCTGTAATTACGGTTGTTACAATATCAGAAGAAAATCGTGCACCATGAGTTTCGTGGCATATATTCCATGGCCCTGCAACTCCTTTAGATATAATGTGTAGCAAGCTGAGTGCTTTTGTCCTCCCTTTTTATCACCCCACCACAAAATAGTGTAAATTCTTCCCACAGTATCAAAAAAAATTACAATTTTCAGAAACAGGTTTTCATTCATTCACATATAGGATAAATGTTTTTTTATTTAACATACATTACAACAAAAAGATGTTATAATATGCCAGCATACTGAAAAGTAAAGAAGCGTGTAAAAGGTCATAATTCTGTAATGATCCTCGTCTTATTGAGAGAAAAATGGGAGCTGCTGCAGCTGGTGTTTTTCCATGCTTGCTTTATGTGGTCCTCAGTGTTGCTGTTTATAGAGACACAGCAGCCTCCTTAATAATCTAACATCCCTCTTGTTTTTTTTGTTATGATCATCACATTTAATTATTTACTATTAACTTTATCCTGTCGTTTTGGCAGAAGGGTCTAAATGTTAAAATAACTAATGTAAATGCACTTTAGGAGTCACATTTCCATGTATACAGGTTTGTTCCTTTATATTTCTGTAACTCTATAATTTCTATAATATGTTTTTGAATGCATCTGTTATCTTTGTACTGGCTGCAACTGTGAGTCACGTCTAAAAAAACGAGACCCTTCAGAGCCACAGGGTCCTGAAAAAGCTGCTCCAGCATTAGTTTGAATTAGCTTGAAACATGTCATTTTTTGTCTGCTGCTCCTTTGAATGAGAGGCATAACATGTTTAGGCAATCCCTTCCCATAAAACTTCCTGATAAACACATTTAATGTACTGATTTAGATTTGTTGTGCATGCCAATGTCAGCAGCGCAGGTGCAGGTAAAGCTGATGATATTTGCTGTCAGTAGGTGGATGAAATATCTTCAGTCACATTGGAACATAAATGTCTGCACCTGCGTGTGCGTCACAGATTGACCCACACACATTGCCATCATTAGAAACCTTTGAGTTAACCAGACGCGGTTGTCGACAGGCTGACAAGATGACAGTTAAATGATGAAAGGATGCACGGGGAGATGATCAAATCAGTCAAAAACAGCATTCAGTTCCACCAAGACAGACAAGTCATATTTTTGGAAATGTTGTCAGCTGTTGTTTTCAGATGATGTGACGTTCCCTCTGCCAAGAACTGAGGACAACGGCACCTCGCGTCAGCTGAAATCGTCAAATCTTGATTTTTGTATTTATTTTTTTGGTCTGTTTTTTTGCGTGTCTGTTTTTGTGCAGGGATGCGTCAGGGGAACGATATTGGGACGACATACCGCTCCGCCATCTACACCTACACAAAGCAGCAGCTTGAGGAAGCTCTGGCCTCCAAAGAGCAATACCAGAAGGTACACGAATATATCTGTCATTTGTTTTTATGACTGGGTGATTTTAAATGCCTTGTTTTTGTCTCTTTGCCTTTAAACATCATATGCTGATTTCTGAAGCCTTTATTCTGGATTTGAAAAAAACCCAAATATGCTAAATGATGAAAAAGGCTGCACGGAGAGACATCCCATAAATATGGGATAGAGATAGTGACAAGAGGCCCGCTTCTCAATATGTAAAGTGAAACAACAGACTTTATTTCAAGCATATCTGGAACTAAAAGTAAAAGTCTTAAATTGTCTTATGGTCTAAGAAGAAGTCTATATAAAAACTACTCAACTTCTCATGTCTCAAGTCTCTGTTAGCTCATTCTCCTTCCATGTGCTTCCATGGAAAGCCAAAGGCAGACAGAGCAGATCAATGGCTATATATAACACACTGATTATGTCAGAATGTTTGTTGAAGTGGGTTGCAAAGAGGATTGCAGATGCATAATAACTGTAGTAACAGCTTAAGCAACATGCTACATGTGAGATTTGATAACTGGATGTGTAGAAGCGTATCAGCCATGAGTTGTCAGCTGGTGTGTGCTTGCACTGAAATGAGCTGATCTGCCAGGATTGTGGCTGAGATCAACACAAACCAGTCAGATTAACCATTTGTATTTGTATTCCTGCACAGATATGAAGAAACAGAAACATTTAAATTTTTTATGCATTTATTAA